GCAATATAATTGGTAAGGTTATGTATAAAAATAGTAATTGTGAAAGCTCCAATTTTGCTTTAATGTTTCTTGGTCTGCAAGAACCAGAGAGCCAACAAGAGAGAGAAGAGAACAGAGAGAGGAGAGAGGACACAAGCGAGAAAAACCAGACAGGAGAACAAGAAAACAGAGGAGAGACCAGAGGAAAGACAGACCAGGAAGACAACGAGAGAAGAGAGAAGGAAGAAGCAAGACGAAGAGGAGGAGAAGACAGAGACAAGAACAGAGGAGCGAAAGAGAACGAACAGGAATCAGAGACGAGACGACACAGGAAGATGAAGAGAAGAGGTAGGTAAAGGGACAGTAGATGGATTATAGTAGGACAACATACCGGCTCTATATGAGGCGCGAGCTGTGTTCACACAACTATCCACTCCACAGATTACACTCTTTATAACCTTAAAAAAACCTCCTATTTGACAATTTCTGTCAAGTTACATTGAATTAAAAAGTAAAGTTTGTTCAGTGTAGCTTTTAGGTTTTATTAAATGTGGAGTGACGATCATTGTAGGTATATATAGTGTATTGTGGCATGTGGTTTTTGGTAATAAATTTGTTCCTGTATAAAATAACATGTATAGATTATACTAAGAGAGTAACCGTACGTAAAAAACTTTGTTACTGTTATTTCTGACTGGAAAAAATATAATATGCTCTTTTAGATGCCCCAGGAAGCTGCCCCCAGGGGGAGAGGAAGAACGAGGAAGTGGACCCCCTGGAGGGCCATGGGACAGGCCCATCCAGGAGGTGAAAGCAGGCCAGGCCTGAGTCTGGGCAAGGCAGCCAAACAGGTTTGGTGTCCCCTAAAACGAGCCTGAGTGACAGAGTCAGTGGAAGGTGGTCGCGAGGCCACTTCTAACCCCTGCAGATGAAGATTCCCTGGTAAGAGTATCTATCAAGGACCCGGTTCCACTTTTTTCCCAAAACCCGAAAATCAAAAACCGTTTGTGGGCTTATGCGATACCACTATCGAGTCATTGTTTTTTTTTTTCCACGTAAATTGTGTGTCCCTCGAGTCGCCGTCCACCGGCATTTAAATCCTGAATCCAATTCCAATCCACCTGCCAGCGTGTCCCCCCAAATGTTTTGGAATGCAAAGTTGTAAGCAACCAGTATTAAAAGTAAGAACAAGTTTATCTGAAGTTAACCTTCGCCTCGCCGAGGATGGCTGAACAGGCCGAAAAGGTCCTATAGTGTTGGCTCTTTTTACCAAGTCAGGAGATACAAAGATAAAGATTACAAAGAGGAAGCCGAAAATGCAACTTATGTTGTAGAAATCGATTTCTTGTAAGTGGGAGGAAACACAACACCTCCAATGGCCGAAGCCGCATCCTTAGCATTCGTCGCATCCAAATAAAGGCACAAAGCAGTACAAAGGCCCGCCTGTCTCCCGGGTTGAAAAAGACCTTGTCCTCCTCACTCCTGCTGCTGGGCCGCCGGCGACCACAGACAGGCCCGCGTCTCATCCATCCCAACTCCAAAAGTACCACAGCGTAAGCGCACACCAGCGAGACTTGTTAGCTTGGTCCCGTCAGTAAATATAGTACATTGTGAGGTGATTCTATATAACCAATATTTTCCATCATAAGAGCCTCTACTGGCTTTCAACACCTCTCTCACACCCCTCCCTCCTTCCCTCTCTCACACACACACACCCATAATGTATCAATTATTACATGATGACATCATGATAAAAAATTAACTTTATTTTATTACTTATAAACAAGAAAATACATCTGAATAGCTGACAGATATATGTCATATCAATTTTTTTCTCCTACATTCCATATATCTCTAAGAGGAGGCTGAAAACAAAAATATTTATTGCTTTTGTTTACGCACAGCTTAAATATATATTGATCAGATGATGTTTCAACCAAGTGCAATATTGAAGTATTAAAGCACCAGGTCTGGAGGATGCATGTGATGCAACAGTACATGTCACAGTTAGATGTGGTGCAACAAGCTGAAAAGAGGAAGGTTCAACATGGAGTGAGGAGGCCAGTGATCACATATATCATGTAAATAAAATTCTCCACACATTTTGCTTGCTGCTTTTACTGGATTATTTGTGTCTTCTGCACTTTATTTTTTTCTTTCTTTATTTTATTAAAACGTCTCCATGTGTGGGCAGAGCACCCTGCACACAGTTCTTTAGAGAGAATCCAGACACGGCATTGGCCAGTTTGGTAACTTTAGGAGGAGCAGGCATGGTGACGACACGCTTGAGATAACAGCGATCCCTAGAACACAAAATCAAAAGCATCGTTGATTAGGCACCATAAATACAGCTGGCATCACATTTTAAAGTGGGGCTACAAAAAAAATTATATAGTTGAATATTAGTGGGTATTGCCTGAATTGCTGGTACACTTATATTTTTAAAAAAAATATTTGTCTTTAAGCAGGTTTGTGTGCATGCATAAAGAATACTGTACTTATAAACGGGGTTGAAGAAGTTTTCGTTGACATAGGTGTAGAACTGGCAGTTAGCATTCTCGTCACAATTCCTCTGACATAGTTCTGCATCATTCATCAGCTCATAGAGAATATCAGAACCTTGAAAATCTACATCTTCATGAGCCACCTTCATCCAGCCTGTTAGCAGAGAGGAACTGGGTTAAACTTGATAGCTAAACTACATAAATACTCCATGAACAATGAACTGGAAGGACATATAAACATTCATATTTACTAAAGGATTGCAGTCTTGTAATCATATGTCACATAATAACCAAATCTCAAATGACAGTGTATGTCACATATCTACACTGAGTGTGAAGTGTTGATCAGTGATACATACTGTTATCCAGCTGACAGAAGCGTGTTGGTAACCCAGATGTGAATCCTTCTTTAGCTCTGGTCACCATTTCATGCACATTGTTCTTCAGGTGACAATTAAAATTAGAACTGCAGAAAAAAGAAAATGAGACCTTCAATAAAAGTACATTTTGACATTAAGTGAATTAGAATAAGACATAACTGGACTGAAAATGACAACCAAATATTTCATCAGGAAAGTTAAGATACTGTCAGTTAAGGTGCTGGAACAACAAACTAGCTAATATAACTAAACACTTAATTGTATTGTCTTATTGGACCAGCTTTGCCACTTTGCCACTTCAGAGAGGGAAAAAAAGTTCTATAAACACTTGTTTCACACTACCTGTCAAAAGAGAAGAAGGTGCAGCGTGGCTGAACAGAGCACAGAGCCTGACAATGTTCAGGAGAGGCAGCAGGCAGTGTCTGGATGTCATTTCCTGGGATGGCAGTGCTTGGGAAAAACTTGCCTTGACATGCTGTACAAGAAAATGGATAACACAATAAGAAAGCATGCACAACAACCTGCAGGATGCTTTCCGAATGCTATGACTGTTAGTGTACCTGAGTTAAGGGTTTGATTTATTTGTGTTTTGTGGGAGAATCCGGACACACATCCGACTTTTGCCATCACAATAGGAGGTGTTGGAACTGTCCAGCTGAATTTAAGGTGGCACTTGTACCTAAAACAGAACAAGAAATAATCACAAAGTATATCTACAAAGGTTGATATGTCTAGTTTATTAACTTGCAAAGTAACCTTTGTAGTGTAGAATAATAGACTAATTGGCAGATAACAAATCTTTATAACATTAGTTCCTCCTCTCTTATAATTCACCACTTGCACTGGGCATCTGTCATAAATTCAAAGGCCACAAACACTGCTCATGGAGGTTTATCTCAACCAAAAACAGTGTAATTTCAACTGCAATCTAACATTATGTGATCCAGTGTTACCTGATCTTCTCCAGTGAAAAGATTCCATTTACGTAAGTAAAGAACTGACAGGCAGGTTCCTGTGTGCAGGCTCTCTGACACTCTTCATAGTCTGCTGTAAACAAGGTTTGGTAATCTGCCCCTAGGAAGTCCACGTTCGGGTACACCTCGGACAGGCAAGGCTCTAGCACACAGACAGTGAGAGTAAAGGAGTGTGTGACCATGCATTGGGACTAAACCAAAAGTTTTCAAAGTGGTTTTAAGTGGTTATGAACCTACGTGGGTCTGGGCTGCAGGGTTTGAGAGAAAAGCCAGAGGTGACGCCCAGAAGTGGAGTCTGAACATTGGGCTGTCCAGACCTAGTGGACTTGAGGTAGCAGTAGAAGTGCCTGCAGAGAGGGGCAGATGTATTTAACTTAAAAGTTAATAATGGGTCCTCCACAATTGCAAAAAACAAATATACAAAAATATGTCAACAAAAGTAACACTCACAAGACATTATTAGAGATTAGAGATTAATATTTACTTATTTTTAATTACATGTCTATTGCTTGTATTGTACCTGTTATCTCTGGTCCAGTCAGCGCGGATAAAGGTAAAGAAGAGACAGGAAGGGTGCTGGGTGCACATGTGCTGACAGTGCTCAGCATCAGGAGAGTAGACAGATGTTATGTCTGTTCCCGGAAAATCCACATTGACCAGATGCCTTGAATTACATTCTGAAGAAATGGAAAAATAAATAAATTTGCATATACATATACACTGTACCACATACCCAGTAAATGGTGAAACAGACACTGAGTATAATTACAATAGACAGTATAGTGCATGTATTACCTTGACTAATGGAGAGGCTGCATATAGACAGCAGACCCACCAAGATCAAATATGTTCTCATCTTCTCAGTTTTGAAGACACTCTGCAAAGAATAAAGATTCATGAAGCACAACTGCAGTAAAATAGTTGGTGCTCCAACTGCAGGTGGTCAAAGGATAGCTCCTTCAACCCTGAATTTGTAGGTCTGCTCTATTTGCACTGCTGATTGTTGACACATCCTTTACAGTTAAGCCATAGCTTAGCCTGATTGGCCACATGTTCTTCACACATCACATCAGATTTTGACTGACTAGCGTCAAAACAGCGAACTATGATCTGTCAAGTCTATTTGCTGTTTCAGAGTCCAGCCTAAAATCAATATTTGGACGTCCTGGCTTCGAGACAATCGAACTATATACTGTGAACTTTTATAATACTTTGCACAAAACTGTAAATATTTCTTCATAGTTTATTGTTAATTGTCTATTTATGCTTCTTGACACTTATCTTTCTTTATCTTTCTGTTTATTGTTATGCACCAAAGCACCATGGCAAGTTCCTTGTACTGTATGTGAAAATGGATTCTAATTCTTAGTTTAGTCTAATTTTGCTGTGCTGACCTGACTGTGTCTTGTTATCAGTGTGCTGTTGTTTTTGTGGCAACCTGTTGTATTTTCACCTCTGCACTATATATTTTGCAACCTGCTGCAAATGTTCATACTGTTTTCTTACTTTAGGGGTTAGGTTAGGGTTTAGAGAGATTTTCATTTTCAAATATAAAATACTATTCATACGATGGCTATGGCTTGGAAAAGAGAAAACACAAGTTTACCTGATTGCAGTTCACACAATTCACTCTCATGGTGGGTTTTTTTTTCAAAGTAAACATTGTCACCCGCTTTGAAACAAGGTGGAGGATGCCTTGCATAATTTTTAAGTCCAAACCAAAAGGACGGTAAAAGCAGCAGTAGTTTATTTGAGTTTAGCGGCCTCTGCTGTCAAAACTGTAAGGTGTGGGAATAAATGTAGAAGATGGTTTCAACTTAACAATCAAAACATGTACGTCAGGTTAATTCTTCAGTCACTGGCTCCGATCTGGAGTTGGCCCTTTGGCGCCGTATGGTGGCTGCCCACTTCTCCTAATACTTAGATGAGTCAAATGCAGAGATATACTTTCCTAAGGGGATCAATAAAGGATAATTTTAACTTTGAGTTATTTTTAATAAAAAGGTATAAAGTGCATGTTTTGGCTAAATAAAAGTTACTATATTGCTGATACATACTGTATATATGATTTCAGTGAAAGTGTCACCAATTCATTGTCTGATCAATTGTGAAATGGTCATCACTTGTCAAAAACATGTTTTATCACATTACACTGACTTCGACTGTTGACCACCAAATCCTAAACACATCATTCTTATGTCCAAGCGGAAGTTTGTTCCATATTTAAAGACATTCCATCAAGGTGTTCCTGAGATATTGTAATCTTGAGAATGGGACGGACAGAGACAATTGGACAGACAACCTGAAAAGAGATATAGCATCCAAACCTCAAACCTGCTGTGAGAGACCAGTTTTGATGCCTAGGGTTAAATACCTTGGTGTAGAAAGCTATAGATATATTTTAATATAATTTCTCCCTGTTACATAAACCTGTGTAAAACATATTCCAGTTAAAAATGGGCTTAAAGACGGCTCTGTGCTCTGTGCTGAGCTTGAAATGAATCAATCACACAAAGCTGAATGTCAGTTTTTATTGCTTTTGTTAACAGCACAAAAAGAATAATCTGCGGTTTAAGTCACAAACAATTTCTGTTTAGAAATTAACAGCCACAGTAAATGTGCATTTCTTAAAAATGTTGCCAGATAGAGTAGTGCATTGGAAGGAGTGGTTACATATTACATAACAGGAACAGTTCCAGTGTGCCAGCATCTCAGATGTCTTTCAGTGTGTCTTGTCCCTGTGGGTTCTCCAGCCAGGTAGGAGGCCAGCTGGCTTTGATGCTGGGTCTGTCCTTAAGACAGTTGTAGTAAGCTGCCAGTTTAGGGTAACGCTCTTCACACAACCTACAGAATGGAGAAAAGTTGGTGTCAACTTCAAATTTCATTGCTCCTTGGAAAATCCATGCATTAATTTTAACAAGCAGTCCTTTATAGTCAGAGTCAACATACCCAAAACGGAAGAGATAACAGATGCTTGGATAAACAGTCACATCAGCCAGTGAAAAGTTCTTTCCTGCCAAGAAACAGCCTGATCCCTAGAAGACAGAACAACATAGTTAAGGCCACATTCTTGACACAAGATTCTCATGTCAGCGGCTGAACAGAGCTGTATTCATTTACTGTTCTCCCTATTTACATAAACATTTACCGTGATGGATGGTTATATAGTAGCTTGACTAACTGGAAGCATTTTAGGAAATACACTTTCTTGCAGAGAATTAAATGAGAAGATAGAGTGGTATCAATCTCCTCATCTGAGAAGCCCTGAAAGGCAAAAAGTGAGGGGGGAAAAAAACATCTGGTCATCCATTTTCTAGGTCTGATCTAAATGCTTTTCTATGTTTACAAAAAAAAAAAGAATAATATTTCTACATTTATTTATTTTTTCTTCATCTGTGATGGTGTAGGGAAAAATAGGTTTTGCCCATTGGAGTTTTGGAAGGTGAATTTTTTGTGTTAAATTAAGAGGCTTAAGTGCAACGCTACCTAAAAGCATTAAAGCGTTCATGTTTTATTCCACGGTGAGTTTGCACTCTAAACACAAGGTACATATATTATGTGTTAGCAAGTTGCCTCACTGTTGTGTTTTTCTTTTGGCTAGAAATTTATTTGAATCTATACTAAGAAAAAAATTGTTTACTTCCAGTAGGTTGGAATTAAATATGAATGCTTTTAGACTAATGTAGGGGTGGTGGTGCACTTAAGCCCTCATGTGGCCAAAATTAGTATTACAACAACAAACAAAAACAAAAAATATATCCTGACAAAGATTTTTTTCTTCACCTGCCTAAACTATTTTCCCCCAGATTTTTTTTCCACCTGCTCTTAAGTCATAACCACAGAAAAGGAAACTATTTAAAATCAGCCTTTGAAAATGGATCACCAGAACGATTTTTTTGTCACTTGCCTCTCAGGG